ACATTTTCATCTTTACATTCATGCATTGCTAATCATCAAAGAGAGTTGTAACTTGTTGCTGGAATTAGCAAGGCTCATTGACGATGCTTGCGAAACGTCTGGGCATGTACCAAAACTCATGGTACAACACTGGAAATTATCATAACTACTATAGAAGGGGACCTAGGACTAAATATTCCAACTAGGTCGCCGTGACAGTACGGCTAGGTTGCGGAAACGAGGTCAGCCCACTTCTAAGATATTGATCGTAGTTTTCGGCCACGTTTTACCAAAACAATATTATTGCTAAAGAGCTAACTCAATTAAATATGGATGTAGGCTTTATTATTAATTTTGATGAATTACCTTATTAAAACCAGTAATAATTAACAGAAGTTGCCGTGTATGTATGTTGAATTAGATCCATTTCTTAGCAAAAACTAGACATACTTTTAAGAACCCACCGAATTACTATAGAATAAGATCCCCAAATCCACAATAAACTTAGGTTATGAAAAAACTAAGTACTTTATAAATAATTCCAAGCTTATGAAGAAAAACCAAGCTTATGGAATATTTCATCAATAAAATCTCTTCGTCACATACATAAGAATGAAGAAGACGTGTGGCTTTGCTCCATCAAAAATATGAACTGAATTACATCAGGATGGATAAGAAAACCCTTTTTACCAAGTGGATCCTCAAGCCCTTTTTTCGAATATATGTACGTATATAGATATATATACGATGCTATATGTTAAAATATACGTGCTTCTTGAACCTGTGCTTTGCAGACAGTCAGGAATATCTTCTGCTCCTAGCAGAAGAGTCTTTGCTTGACATCTTTATTCTGGCATGGAAATATATGGGGTCGACTCATCTAAGCCCTAATAAAGTATGCCCTAAAAAATCATAGTGTTGCAACTAAACTTAGTTTAATCGAAGATATGAAGACCAAGATGATGTGGCCTTCGGTATGGTCGCAGTCTCTTTTCGATTTATAGAAGTGGGTTGATCGCGTTTTCGCAACTTGGTCTTGTTGTCAAGGCGACTTAGTAGAACGCACCTAGTCTTAAGTCCTCTGCCATAATAATTAGCGTAATTCCTAGATACATTCTCAAACATTTTGCCAGTATCGTAGTCGGCATCATCAGTGAGTGCTGTCATTATTCGCACCAAGCTGCAAATTCATCAAAGAGATTCTGGATTTGCCACAAAAGGGGACACATTTTGACGAATGGAATGTAAACAAGTGAGAATTTGTGATAGGGCGGGAGTTTGGTAGGAGGGTAAAGAGTAGAGAGATAGGCCAGGACAAAAAGAGGAGTAATAGTCTAACCGTTTTCGGCAGAACCTTTGATTGAAGGATTGACTTCACTTGTCTCTATGACGAGTTCGTAGCTTGGTGTGGAGAATGGCAAAACTCACTGATGATTCCGACTACGATGCCGGCGAAACGTTTGAGAATCTACCAAGTCTACTTTTTGATGCTGGGAATTATGATAACTATTATGGTAGACGACTTCGGACTAGGTGCGTTATAAAAAGTCGCCTTTACAACAAGACCAAGTTGTGACAACGAGGTCAACCCACTTCATTAAAGTTGGTTTAGTTCGACAAAAGGCGCTTCATAATAGGATGTGTAGAAGTAATGGAATTATTGTTCAGTTACTTTTAAGCCAAGTCTTCAAAATATATGCGCTAGCGGCATTTGGATAGATAAACTCTTATTGAGCAGACAAGGAGGGTGCTATAGCAAATATATGATAACGTGAAACACATAAAATATAAATAAGTAAAGGCCTTTCACGAGTATATGGTTTATAAACAAGATAAATTTGCTGAATGTAAAATGACCAATTAACTATAATTAGTAACCAACAAATAAATAAAAATTCCCCCTCGGCCAAAATATGCCTTCTTTCTATGAATCGACAGGTTTCATTAAAGGCTCAGTTGGGACAGAATCTAAGCTGCCCACATAATCTAACAAGCAACTACCAGCAACCACACTCTGGATTTGCGGAGTAAATAAGTGTCAAATTCTTAACTAACATTCTTTTGAGAAAATGTAAGCCCAAATGAATGAAAATAAAATATAGAGTTAATATAAAGGCCGCTGAAAGAAAAAAAGAAAGAAAAGAGTCTAGTGGCTAATCAAATTATCAATTTAAATAAGAATCCAACCGTAAAAGTAGCAAAGTTTAAACTATGCAATAAGCATACAAAATCATGACTCAAAAATTAATACTTATTTGGAAAAGAGTCAGCTTACTCAGTTGGAAGAGCAAGTCGGCCAAGCCAGCCAATTTGTGGAATGGCGGACCCTGAAGATTGGCCAGTCTCAGCTGCCGCTGCTACTTCCGTGGAAGATACGGAGGTCGCAGGAAGGGCAAGAGCTACTGTTGTTGGCAAGAGAGGAGGCTGTGAGTGGGGTGGCATAGGCTGAAGCTGAGGTATCAACGGAGAGCCTGGACTGGTTGGATAAGCAAGACTGGTCTCTTCACCAGCCAAGTCACCGGCTCCACCGAGAACACTATTTGAATGACACGGCAAGTTAAGAGAATCATTGACCACAGCCAATGCGATGTCACGCAGCGCTTGATGCATAGCTTTTGTTTCTTCGATGAGTGCGCGCGCGGAAGAGTCAGAAATGTCGACACCTTCTTGGACAGAAAATTAATTATTTGATAAATAATTGGATATAATATGAAAAGTTTTATACTAGTGTGCTTACTATTAAGGATTAGGAATAAATAAATTATCATGAGAAAGATGGGCAAAGAATGTAAAGCAAAAGTAGGGCATTTTTTTCGTTTCTCATTTGTGCTATCCGTTTTACAGCATTCCTTTCTTTAAACTAAAGATGGAACTATTTATTTTAATTTAAGCTGGATTCTTAAGTAAATAAAGCACGAAAATCTAGTAAAGGCTTTAATCTTTCCGGTAGAGCATAGCTGTTCGAGTTCAATTACTTTAAATGACTAAGCAGAAATTTGCCCTAATAAGGCCCTCAGACTAGCGATCATACATCTTAACGAGGCGTGGTTTAACTCGGATGTGATGAAAGAAACAAAATCAAAGAGAAGGCTAGTAAAAGACAAAACTCTAGCTACATGCTTAAGTCTTACTCGTATCCTACGATGACTTGTTTTTCTGTCTATCACAAAGACAAGCGTGGGAAGTATAGAGCATCGATTATGTCTCAGGTAATACCACCTTGAAGTCCAAAAGGCAATATCAAGAAGAAGGACAGAATATATATTTAATAGTATTCCTATAGCACAGGGTCAAGAAGGATATAGAATTTGGTGTTTTATTGATGCTAACCGGATCTGTTCTGACACACCCATAGCCCTATGATGGAGACTTCGGCAGGGCCTAAAGTCACTTTGATAATGAAACGATGAGTGTATTATATTCTTAGTGTCTCTGAATAAGTTCCTCGTATTATGTTTAGAAGTAGTCGCCGTTTCGAGAAGTAACTTTTTGAAGCTAAACAGATAAACAAATGGCTAAGGACGGATTTATTCGAAGCCCTGAACAAGATAAAGTGCATTGAGGCTAGTGAATTACTTTCGAATTTCATCATATGCTGCATTAGCATACAATTATATTTTTAAAGTTTATTACGGCATAATTGGTTTGATTGTGGAGTCACCCCAATATCTAGAAAAATAAAGGAAACCTATCTGATAAGATCTAGTGATATAACAAAAATAAATGTAACAATCTACAATAATTATTTATATATACATATATAAAGATCTAATGAGCTATGGCAACAAAGTTTTATCATTTTAATGTAGAAAATGAGATAGGATATGCATTGGACAGGTCATATTTAACGACATAATGAATATTTTTTCAAAATTTATTGACCTTGATCAGCTTGTTGTATATTCTTATATCCTTAAATAAAAATCCAGGTAGTTTAAATAAACTTAAGTCAGCAAATGATATTCAATAAATTTATGGCTAATATCCTTAGCGGAAATGGTTGTTCCTCTTTCGTTTTCTATAAAATACACCACGTTGATAATAATTCATCTTATCCATGTCCAGGAGCTAAAGATTTATACCAACTTGGGTAAGGTAGTAATTAGGACTTTCTTGACAAAGAATTTTCCTGGGGCCCATGCCAATTGATACATTATCCTAACTGAGTGTTGTACCATTTCCCAAAGTATGTTTTAGAAAGGCTTTGCTACGT